CTTTTCCACTTACAGAGCTAGGTTATTGTTTTTCTTTTAAATAAATATTAATGTAATTTTATTGGTATCTATCTACCAGTAGCTGCCTCATTTCCCACCCTCGGCTTATATTCGGGTCAATACTTTTTCCCAGTTTTTTGTGGTAAAATTAGGTACCTCGGCTTATATTCGGGACGGCTTATACTCGAGTATATACGGTATATGAAAATATAAAAGCTGATTGGCTGCAGCTGGGACAAAGTTTTATGATCCCCCCCATAGAGGTCTCAGTCCCTGAACCTGATCACACTCTGATGTTCAATGAATACCAAATATCACTGACCATACACCATACAATCTGATTGTACAATCTCCTATAGATCTCCCATCACCTATGTAGTGTAACAGTGGCCACAGACCTTACAACCATCGCAAGACTTTTGTCTTGCGATGGTTGTAAGGTAATTAAAAAAATGATCTGCCCATCTTGTACAGGCAGATCGTACTTGCGATAATCGCAAGCTCGCCCCGCTGAGGGGCGGGCTTCCGATGACCACGATGCTGAACAGGCAGTGTGCGCTTGCGCACACACCGGCCCGTGCGGCTGTTATCTCACCATCATGCTAAAAACCAACCGCAAATGATACGATGGTCGGCTGGTTTTCGAACATGCTGGAAAGACAAAAGTGGTGCGACCGTACAGTAGAAACGGTCGCACGCCTTCCACACACTCCCGCGATTATTGTACGATTATCACAAGGCGTGTGGGCACCTTTACAGTGGCCTGATCCCAGTACAATGAGGTGATTGGTGAGCTGTGTCCTCGTATTACAGAGTTCTGGAGTGTACAGAGATGGTCCAATCAGATTGTATAGTGTGTGATCTGTAGACAGATGTCACAGCAACCAGTGTCCCCGATGGGAGATTTCCCCTTTATTCTTATTGTGACTCATCATTCTGGACCCTCCCTCACTGTCACTCCCGGTGAATTGGTGATCAGGACAATCAGAGAGAGTGAATCTCCCTAACAAGACACAGACAGCAATACAAACCTGACAGGGGGTCTGACCCCTCACCTCTCTATA